ATATGCATCAGAGTTGTGTAAATTTTTATTATATCAATGTCTTGATGGTCACATGCACCTAACAGGAAGGCATGATTTTATGTCTTTCTTCACAGTTTTAAAAAACTTGCCAAAAATCCCAAATTCATTTCCCCAAAGTAAACTTTATATATTTTGAAAGATCATCAACTCTAATGTTGTCTTTTGTAATCTTATGAAATTTTGAGCAAAGGCACCCGCTCAAAATTATCGTTGTTCTTCCCCTACCATTTTATGCAACATGTGAGAGCCTTAAGCTTTTGACTTCTCTTGAATACTGAAATTAATCTAGTTTTTGTGAAATTACGGTGTTTAGACTATAACAAGTTGTCAACAACTTAGAACTATATATGGTAGCTTTTTCTAGCGCAGTTGTTTTGATATGCCATTCAAGTGTAGCATGATCATGACCTATTTTAAACCTGTTCAGTGTCACCAAATTGATCCTGGGACTGGAAACGAAACGTTTTCTTTTTTTCAGAAATGAATAAATTTTCCAAGGAAAATCTACACACCAATTGTATACTTTCTAAAGGCTACCTGTATGCTAAAGAAAAGCGAATTTTAGTTTCCAAGCAATCTTAACTTTGCCATGCAATGGTTGATTTTTGCACAGATTTGCTCTAAATTAATCTTACACTCCTTTGAATTTTTTTTTTCTGAATTTACATTTACATTTATTAATTTTTTTATTTGGTCTTGTAGGTCTCTAGCTGGTAGGATCTTTAGGGGCCGAGAAAATACAACCAGCTAGAGATAAACCTTGCATATTTAGTCGACTTCACCCAATTTTTACTACAGTTTGCTTCACATTTCACTTTTCTGCACTCCAAATCAGTCTTACACTCCTTTGAATCACTTTCTTAAATATTTAACTGTTTTTCAGTCTTGGACCTCTGGGTGGTAGGAACTTAGGGGACTTAGAAAATGCTACCGGTTAGAGGTGCAGCTTGCATGTTTAGTCGACTTTGCACAATTTGTTGTATTTCAGTTTGCTTTGCATTCTACTTTTTGCCATTCCATGTTAGTCCTACACTAAACTGGAATAATTTTTTTCAAGAATATCTTCTTGTCCCTTGGTCATATACCTCTAGCCCATATAATCTCTGGGCAGCTTAGAAAAAAACTACAGGCTAGAGGTACAGCTTGCATTTTTGGTGAATTTAGCTCATTTCATTTTACTTTTGATTTATGAAAAACCTTTCTACATTCTACATTAATTTAGTCTTATACAGTGTAACTGACGCAATATAGCAGCGTTCGATCTTTAATTTAGTTGTACGCGCAGCCTTGTAACATCAGTGTGCGACCTTTCATTTAGTTGCATGCGTGTATCGCAAGCGCTCATGAAAGCTCTGCGACAGCCCGCAAGTTGTATAAAGGTCACGTTGTTTTCTTTTGTCGTCAGTTGACGCAATATCCTTCAACTGAAAGTGAAGTTTTAGCTGCCATGCTCAAACCTTTTTAATTGTTCTAGTAATAACGGCACCAAGGTAAATATCTTTACGCCTTTTAGTTTATTTAATTAAGCAATTTGTATCATTCTTTCTTTAAATGCGATTTCTCGTATTGTTAAATGAGTTAAGACTTAAAATTTATTTTAATTAAGCGAAAGTTGCTTACGACATCATAAGCAACTTACACCATTAATTGTAAATTGTTATTTTTCCTTTGTCTTGTGACTTTTTGAGTCGCATGAAATATATTTTCATCTGATTATTTACATGATCTCATTTGTAATTTGTTTGTACTTTTATTTTAGTTCTCACAGTGTTCTTTTAACAAAGTAAGAAGTTGAATAAATTTTTACAGACGTCAGTTTGTGAACGTTGTGATCACTGGAGCAATATACAGCTGTGGAGTCACTCCATAGATA